AGTTTGAGAGGTTCCTTGCACAACGAATGTCTTCTACTCTGTCGAGGATTACTACCATTACTATTACGACTACCATTGGTGCCAGTAAGGGTTGTAGCAGTCTTAGGGTCGTATTCGTCGTGTATACTTAGAACTTTCATCCTTAGTCAGTATGCATGCATGTGTGTGTATATATATATACACATCTAAATACATGCGTCTATATGTGTGTTTGTATGTGTGTGTATATATATATATATATATATCTGTGTTTGTGTGAGGCTGTGTCTGTGTGTACCGCGATGCGTGTACGTGTATGTGCAGAGAAAGATGCGTGCAGAATCATACACTACCGACGGGTGTTTTCTGAGCACCGTTAGTCAGTGTTGATGTAAGCTTTTTCACATATTGACATTTTGCTTGTCCATGTCTTGGCTCGACAAGTACTTGCAAGTTGTGCGAGTATATGTATGTCGATGTATATATGCACATATGTGTGTGTATATATATATATATATATACATACACATATATACATATACATATACATTTACATATACATATACATATACATATATATGTATATATATATATATATATATATATATATATATAGAGTCCGGGGGGCTGTGGGAGTGCCCCTTTTTCCACAAAATCTAAGTATCGCATTGTCGAGCCACCTAATGAACCACCTGCGAGAATAGGATACAGGCAGACGCACACATACTTAAACGAGCATTCATTCAACTTTTTTTACACACATGTATACCAAGGTATGAGTACACAACCGTTCTGTATAAATATATATGCATGCGCACATAAATACCTAGCTAGATAGATAGGGTCCTTATTATGAGTATTTAGTGTGATGATATACCACAAGCCCTATTCCACTTATTGAGGTCGCTAGATTACACGACTTTCCGCACATCACCAGGACGCGACCCCCCATCTTCGAGCCACTGGAGGCCCGGGACAGGGATGACGTCTAGCTTTCCGGCTCAAGCCATGTATGGTCATCGTTGTCCCAAAGTCTTAAAGCTTGCCAACGAACAGAAGATGACGAAGTCTCGAGCAGGTTTCTGCTGAGCACGGATTTCTGGAGCCACGAGGCCTTACAGTTGGGCGCATCATCCTGACCCGTCCTCACCCCTTTTAAGCAGGTCTCAGGCTTGGACCTGACAGTAGCTTTCGTTCTTGATGCTGTCATGGTGGCTCATTGTTGCTCTTTATGTTGCTCGTGTTGTTTTTTGTCACTTGTGTCATCGTTGAGGCAGCTTGGTGGTGGTGCTGCTGATGATGCTGATGCTGGTGCTGTTGACACCGCCGTTGCAGTTGCCGTTGTTGTTGTTCTCGCTGCCGATGCTGTTGCTCCACTGACAGCTGTCAGGGGCATGTAGCTGCTGGTGTTGTTGTTGCAGTTGCCGTTGCTGTGGTGGTTGTCGCTGATGTTGCAGTTGCTGTCGTTGATGTTGGTTGCTGTCGCGCCTGGATCACGATGACTACGGCGACGACATCGCAGAGACATGCCCACAATCACATATCAATATCGCGCCGTGTTACCAGTGCTGCTATCGTTTTTACCCAGAGCTGCATTGTGTCTGTCCGTGTGGCTGTTGAAGCAGTGTGGAAGGTCTCGGTGTCAGGGTTGTTCCGTGGACTTGCGAGCTGTATTGCAGCATTCAGGAACTTCGAGCTTCGCCCTTTTCATGGGCGCTCAAATTTAGTCGTCGCGTTTCGGGCGTCGGGCTTGCGTGGCACCGGGTCTCTTATTTTTATGGTACATCCTGTTACATCCTAATCTATTCCCGTCAAACTTGCGGAACCAGAATTCCATGTTCGACGTTCCCTCGCAGAACCCCTTCCCTGGCTGTTGTGAACTCGAAGACTTCTCCCCGACTCTCCGGCGAGGCTTGGGGATGCCAGTGCTGCACGACATCGTCTCCACGGCCGGGAGCCCAATGCGTCCCGTGACCGCCTTGACTCTTCACCAAACCCCCTGTGTGTCTTGGGACCTCCCGCTGTGCCTTTCCGAGTCCACGGCCTCGAGGGACGCGTCAGAGTTCAGCCTCGTCAATTCCTACCACTCATCGGACGCGCAGCTTGCTAAGGCCACATTCAGTGACTCCGAGGGCGAGGACCGCCGCTTCCAGAGTCGCCTAGAAGCCACATGCAGCTAATCGGTGCAAGCGGGTCCTGGTTCGGCAGTGTTGCCGGGCCTTTGCAGAGGCTGCGCTTTCTACACCATTTTCCCTCAGCACGAACTTGTACTTATATTAATATATGTATACACATACACATGCATATATGTTTAAATTTAAATATGTGTATGTATGTGCATGTATGTGTAGTATGTATGCGTGTAATTCAGTATCCTCTACAATTGCTTTCAGCCTCAGAGATGGGAGGACTTTGTTCGCCCTCGCCTGGCGCTGCTTTGCAGCTGTGAGCCCTCGGAGCACCGGTAACAGTCTTCAAGGCCCACAGAGAAGTGTCTGGTGTGCTATCATCATGGGCAAGACAATGTAGCCTGACAAGGATCGGAGCCGAGGTTGCAGGCTGCGAAGCCCCAGTTAAAGCCGGAGCACCCGACAAAGACCGGATCATGAGATCTGAAAGGAGCAGCTGCATCTTATCCTCGAGCGGCACAGACCTCTCTGAACTTATTGAATCATTTACGTCAGTTACTACTCATATTCATGCTACTACGACTACTACTACTACTACTACTACTACTACTACTACTACTACTACTACTGCTGACTGCTGCTGCCGCCACTTCTTCTGCTACTCTTCTGCTACTCTTCTGCTACTACTGCTACTACTGCTACTACTACTACTACTACTACTACTACTACTACTACTACTACTACTACTACTACTATTACTACTACTACTACTACTACTACTACTACTACTATTACTACTACTACTACTACTACTACTACTACTACTACTACTACTGCGCCTACTACAACTACTACTACTGGCTTCTGGTTCTGCTGCTGCTACTCTCACCCTTCTTACTGTGGCTTAACACGGCTGCTTTCTCTCCTTCTTCTGCCACTTCCGTTGGTAGTGGTACAACTTGATACTGCTTCTTTTTCTGTTGCAATCGGTCTTTCTCCAGGTCGATTACTAGTTTCAGCTTCATCTCCGGCATCGTGGGTATCCACAACCTCCGCTTGCAAGGAAATGCCCTCTGTTGCTCCCAAAGGCGGGGCAGACAAGAACGCTTGCTTTGTTTCATGCTGGAGACTCCCAGACTCCACTCGCTCAGTCGGTTTGGGGTCGCAATGGCTCTGCCGAGCTTCCTTTGTTTCGACTCCTGTTTGGCAGCTTAAGCATAGTAAAGCGAGCCTCCAGTTTGTGACATGACGCCGTCACGCCACGCCACTGCCCACCGGAGGTCGATGGATTCTCACGAAATTTGGAGTTTTGTCTTGTTGTGGATAGCGAATGCCTCACTTCATAGTTCACTTCGTAGTTCACGACTGCATGTAAGTTCAATTTCCAAGACTCCGGTCTCTGACGCCTCCTCGCATGGCGACGGCAGTCTTACGGATCGCAGGACCGTAGATCGGCGCAGCCGAGGGGTTGAAGGGTGCAAGTGTATGTGTATATATATATATATATATACATATATATTTATGTATAGATAGATATAAATGTAACTATATGTGTATGTATGTGTATATATATATATATACATATGTATGTCCATATATACATATATATATATATATACATATATTTGATGTGCAGCGAAGGTCTTGAGTGTCTCACCGGAGGGTTTGTAACCGACTATCTGCCGTAAGCTCCAGGATGATGAAAACTTGCGCATTGACAGTTCCTGCGTCGCATTTTGGCGATCGGGGGCGACGCGTGCATCGTAGCGGCGGGGTGCAGCAGATAGGCATGCAGCATCCGCAGGTGTGTTTCAAAGACTACATACAGCTTCTTGGCCGCCCATGTAGTTTGTTCGTGCATGATGGCTGCTTTGAGTGGCAAGGCAACTTAAGACAGCAGACTGGACGCAGAGCTGGTGTCCTGTGCGCAGAGATCGCTCAACTTCTGCCGGCCCGCTCAAAGGAATTCGCTAAAGGGTCTGGGAAGCCAATGCTGCTGTTTCCTGTCCCTCTAGACATTTTATGGCCACGAGTCCTGACATCGGTTGGGTTGAGGCATTTTCAAATTTCGTGCAGGGAGATTGGGTCTAGTCTAGTTTAGGTTCTGGAAGAAGGACGGCAGGCTCAGATAATTATCTCACCGGAAGTGCTTTCCGGCAGGCGCATCTCGGTTCCTGACGAAGTGCGCAAAATAGCGAGCCGAGAGCGTGGGACGGAGGGGGAGAAGGAGAGAGAGAGAGAGAGAGAGAGTGAGAGAGACAACAGGGCTCCTCCCCCGTGTTTTTGACCGGTTTTTGAATCTGTGGCAATAAGAAGCATAGTGAGTGCAAGGTACACATTTTTGGCATACGCAGTGGGGGAGGGGGATCAGGTGTTGAGGAGAATCTTGACTTTGCTTTCGGGGGCCAGGGAGTTCGACGCTTTAGCCATGTGGAGAACTGCGAGAGGGAGATGCACTAAACTCTAAACATATTGGGGAAAATATTTTTCCCCCTAAACGTATTGGGGAAAAATGTTTTTCCCCAACATGTTTAGTGATATTTTTTCAGTACAGCTGACAAAGCTGGGAAGCACAGGCCGAGCATTTCACTGGCTAGGGGATGTTCAGCAACAAACAGCAAGCTCCGTGAAGCCCCAAAACCCCGCAGCCGTTATGGCCGTGCTACTCCTGGTTCTGCCTTCAAGCTCAATCAGCGCAGGAAGCACAGTCTGACCAATGAGTGGAGTTATGAGTCCCGTAATATGGGTAATAACTAGTTACCCTACTTATAAGCCCACTTGCAACTACTCATGAACCTCTAAGTAGAGCAACAGTTGGATCCGAAGAGGAAGCACCAAACCATCTCAAATTCTGGATTCCCTTACAGACCACTTGCGAGGGACGCATTCCCCATGCTGCGCTCAGCTTGCCTGCGTTCACGCCCTGCATTTTGCAGCTGGGGCAGCCAGCGCTTTTCCTTCTTCAAGTCTGCTGTGCGACATCATGTCACGCCGCGTCATAATCCCAAGTTCAACGGATGGGCATCCTGTTCAAGCTCGTTTGGCGGAAGCCTTCTGAGAAGGCTGGCAGGATGCCGGCCTTCAGGACTAGCTTGGAGGCTGGGCGGCCAGCGAGGCAAAGCAGTAGTTCCTCTTGGTTGGTCCCAGATTCGGGCAAGGCCAATGGCATACCTGACACTCGGCTGGCCTTCGCAGATTAGTTTTATTCTCGGTTTCTGTATAAATGAGTCATTGAAGCTGGTTTCGATCTCTTATCGTTGATGGTCGGCCAAGCCCAGGACGATTCCACTGGTCGCCGCGTTTGTTGGTTGGTTCACTAACTGGGTAAGCGTCCAGATGCTGTTTTATCCCATAGAGTATGTCGGCATCGACCTCTACCGCAAGAAGCATGTTCCCTATGGTCTGATTGGCTGGCAGGGCGTTGTGCCCACGAAGGCTCCCGGGATGAGAGAGGACTGGAGAGAAGACTGAAAGGAGAGAAGACTCTAAGAGTCGTCTCCCCACTGCTAGGGAGGGCAGACAAGGCTGGGAAGAGATGCACAGGGAGCAACTCGGTTGGAAGAAGACGGTTGCTAGCGTGGTCGAGTATCAGCAATGGTCTCAGTCTTGTCGCTGAAGAGAAAAAGAGAGCACGCTCGGCTAGCGAAGACGAGTGAGTGACACGGTTGTTCACCCGCCGCCACGCGCCCAAACTTGGTCATGAAACCCGGATGCCGTCTGAGTCTGAGCGGTGTCATCTGCCGTCCACCTCAGGACGTACTGTCGAAAGCAGAGTGTCGGATTAAGCCGCTAACCTGGGCCTGGAATAAAAGCTGCTTTGCCGGGAGCCATCTTTCAAATCCCTGAACGATTTCAAGAGCTCCAAGCCTCCGAGCAGAGACCCTCCCAGGCTGATGTGATGGCAGCGCGCCTCACCGACATCGTCACTGCCAAGCTGTTGAGCTTGCCGGAGGCATTTTCGCGCCTCGACGCGCCGCACTTCGCCTCGCTGATCCTCCCAAGCATCGAGGAGCCATCTTCCCCCAATGCAGGAATTCCATATATGGTGAAAGGCCATCGAAGGTCCTGAGAATCGTCGACTCTGTGCTACCAGGTACCTGGACCCCCTGCATCAAGAAGCCGAAGCATCCCACAGGAGGCCATACGCAATGAGGCGCCCAATGGGGCGGCCTGGGCTCTGTCGCTCGGCTACTTCTTTGATCATCTCTGGTCTTAGGTTCACGATCTGCGGCATCCGCGACTCCATATCTGATGCCAGGTGCTAGAGTGCTGAAGTGGGGGTGGCATGAGAGTTTCCTCAAGTTCTTGGGGGTATCTTATTTTCGGATCCGTATAATAAGGATCCGGGTGCTACACTACGGTCCCCTATTTTCGGAGACTCCCGCATAAGTCAAATGAGGCTCCATACGAAAGCCACCGAATCCCGCTCAGAAGCTCCCAAACTTAGATACCAAGATGAACCCTAGGCCTCATCGTGCCCAGCTGCCCCACGCTGAGAGCATCATGCTGGGATGTTCCCGGGAACTGCCCTTATCACTAGAATAACCCCAAGGAGACACTTCAAGTCGATTCGCTGTTGGGGTCCATGCCACGGAATTTCAGGTTGCTGAAACCTCTCCTGCACTGGGCGCTCTGTCGCGTGGTTCGGGCACTGCAGCGCGACTCGGCTGGCGTTTTCTTAGGAGATTTAGGGCTAAGGGAAAGCCCATTTCTCTGTGCAAGCCCCATGCCAATGAGTCTTAGTTAGCCAAGCTCGCCAACTCTGGTCGTTGCCCAACGCTCCCGGAGTTCTTGAATAAACCCACGGTCTCCAGACTCAGCACGATTGCAGTTTAGGGCTTGAGGTTTAGGGCCTGTGCCTACCTTACAATGACAGCCCAGGAGACATCTCGCAGGTTCTGGATCTGGAAGAGGTGGTTACTGAAGCATTCCTGCGCGATGTGCAGGCTCCTGACTTCTTGCTGGGCTTCGCAAGTACCGGAGAGTAGGGGCGGTGGCATTCCTTGTTCTGCTATGCATGGAGGTACGATCGACAACGCAGCTTGTGATGTTGAGGATGACCTTTGATGCCAGTAGAAGTTCGGAGCATGTGGCCGTGATCGGTTAAGACAGAAAAGACAGCGAGTGTAAGGAGCGCAAAGACAGTGAATCACATCTACTGCCACTATAGTGCACCTTTGGGCCCTCCAAGAACACAGAGCAAAAAATCCGAGGCAACTGTAGGCTGAGCATTCGTCTCGGGCTGGCTAGCTTGCCAAGCCAATTCACAAGCCCGAGCGAACCCACGACAGCTGCAGACACAACAACAACAACCGCAACAACAACAACAACGAGGTACAATCAAAAGCTGCAGCCCCGTCAACCCAAATATCTGCTTTTTGTCTGTACATTAGGTAGAGACAAAAACAGGAGCCCCGTCATGTTGTTTTACTCCCCCAACAACAACAACGACAACACAGTGCCTGCGGATGCCTGTGATGTACACTGTTTGGTGTGTATTTTCAATGGATTTCATCTGTATTTCAGTGGATTTCGTGTGTATTTCAGTGGATGTCGTGTGTATTTCAGTGGAGTTGGTGTGTATTTCAATGGATTTCGTGTGTATTTCAGTGGATTTCGTGTGCATTTCAGTGGATTTGATGTGTATTTCAGTGGATTTGGTGTGTATTTCAGTGGATTTAATGTGTATTTCAGTGGATTTGGTGTGTACTTGGTGTGTATTTCAGTGCATTTGGTGTGTATTTCAATGATTTTGGTGTATTTTCAATGGATTTGGTGTGTATTTCAGTTCCCCGCTGTGCAGATTATGCATTTGCGAGGCCTGTACACACTACTGTATAGTAACCGGTAACTATAGTTTTGAGTGTACGGGTATCCAATGCAAACCCCTCAAAATTCCAGACAAGCCCTTCCAACACCCATCAGAACCCCCTTCTGGATGTCGCAGATTCCTATACCTGTGATGGAAATGTGGTGTAATGTGGGCGGTGGTTGTAAAGGGGGGGTGGTCAAAACAACAGACGAGGCTCCAGTTTTTGTCTCTACTACAGGGGGTAGAGACAAAGTCCTGATTTCGCTGTTGCCTTTGTCTCCACCCCCTGTAGTAGAGGCAAAAACTGGAGCCCCGTCTGTTGTTTTGACCCCGCCCCCCCCCTTTTACAACAACCACCCAGCCTACACCGCATTTCTATCATGGAGCAGTTGCTGTGTAAACCATGGCTTGCACTTCCCAAAACTCTACAGGCATCCCATGCGGTCGCCGGAAGCATTCCCAATTGCTTCAATTAACAACAAGAACGGGCTGCTGTTTTCGTCTGTACCAACAACAACAACAACACCAACACCAACACCAACACCAACACCACCAACAACAACAACAACAACAACAAGGTACAAACAAAAACTGCAGCCCCGTCAACCCATGTATCTGCTTTTTGTCTGTACATTAGGTAGAGACAAAAACAGGAGCCCCGTCATGTTGTCTTACCCCCCCCCCCCCCCCCCCAACAACAACAACAACACAGTGCCTGTGGATGCCTGTGATGTATACTGTTTGGTGTGTATTTTCAGTGGATTTCGTCTGTATCTCAGTGGATTTGGTGTGTATTTCAATGGATTTCGGGTGTATTTCAGTGGATTGCGCGTGTATTTCAAAGGATTTGGTGCGGAGTTCAGTGGAGTTTGTGTGTATTTCAGTGGATTTCGTGTTTATTTCAGTGGATTTCGTGTGCATTTCAGTGGATTTGATGTGTATTTCAGTGGATTTCGTGTTTATTTCAGTGGATTTCGTGGCATTTCAGTGGATTTGATGTGTATTTCAGTGGATTTGGTGTGTATTTCAATGGATTTAATGTGTATTTCGGTGGATTTGGTGTGTACTTGGTGTGTATTTCAGTGGATTTGGTGTGTATTTCAGTGCATTTGGTGGTTCCCCGCCGAGCAGAATATGCATTTGCGAGGCCTGTACAAACTACTGTATAGTAACTGGTAACTATAGTTTTGAGTGTACGGGTATCCAATGCAAACCCCTCAAAATTCCAGACAAGCCCTTCCAACACCCATCAGAACCCCTTCTGGATATCGCAGATTCTTATACCTGTGATGGAAATGTGGTGTAATGTGGGCGGTGGTTGTAAAGGGGGGGTGGTCAAAACAACAGACGGGGCTCCAGTTTTTGCCTCTACTACAGGGGGTAGAGACAAAGTCCTGATTTCGCTGGTGCCTTTGTCTCTACCCCCTGTAGTAGAGGCAAAAACTGGAGCCCCGTCACCGTCTGTTGTTTTGACCCCCCCTTTTACAACAACCACCCAGCCTACACCACATTTCTATCATGGGGCAGGCATGGCTTGAACTTCCCAAAACTCTACAGGCACCCTATGCGGTCGCCGGAAGCATTCCCGATTGCTTCTAATTAACAACAAGTACGGGCTGCTGTTTTTGTCTGTACCAACAACAACAACAACACCAACACCAACAGCAACAGCAACAACAACAACAACAGCAGCAGCAGCAGCAACAACAACAACAACAACAACAACAGCAACAACAGCAACAACAGCAACAACAGCAACAACAGCAACAACAGCAACAACACCAACAGCAACAACAACAACAACAACCACACCCACAGCAACCGCAGCAGCGGCAACGGAAGTCACACCGACAACATCACATGAAATGTAGTCACAAACCGCTAGGTTAACAAGCATTTCAATGAGGAAAGAGATGACAATACCGGTACAGAGCAACAGTAGGACATGCTAGGGCACAGGATGGCCCGAAAAGGCACGTATCCCCAATAATCCCAGCCATTGAAAGGGGTATGAGACAAAATACCTTTGGGGGAGTCCCGTGTTTCCCATATTCCTTAATTAAATCATATTATACAGGGATCCAACTATAATTTAAAGTAGTTTCCTTAATAAAGGGATATTGGAGTCTCTGGGTTATGTGGGCTTGGGTTTTAGGGGGTTAGGGTTTAGGGTTTAAGGTTTTTTGAACGTTTGAGTTCCGGAGGTTCTCGTCGAGCTCTTCCAGAGGGTGGGCCGCCGGGAGCTGGATTTCCTCGTCATCTCAGGTGGGGCAAAGAAGTGGGGTATAAGTGGGGTTATAAAGGGTTTAGGGTTCCTTTACAGGGATCTATAGGGTTATAGGGTTTAGGGTTTAGGGTAGTTATAAGTCGGGCTATAAGTAGGGCAACCATAATAACCCATATTAGGGGGCTTATAACCCCACTTATAACTACCCATGCACAGTGTTAAACACTAGCAGTCACCGGCACTAGCTACGAAAGCAATGCCATCCATGGTAGTTGGATGAGTGGTAGTAGAGAGAGAACAGTTTGCTATAGTGCAAAAGCTGCACCTGCCACCCAGCCGCCTGCCACCCAGGCACCCACCCACCATCCATCATGCTCCCGGCCTGTTCCCTAATCCGACAAGCCTAGGCCACACAGTCGCTGAGGTCTTTACTTCGGCTTTGTCCTCGGACTCGGTCAGATGTGGATCTGGGCCCATGTGCCGAGGGCGTGGACGTTGCCAGTGGCGGGTGCGGTCGTGGGATATGTGACGAACTGGGTTGCTGTGAAGATGATTCCCGGCATTTGTTGAGTTGTGACCAGAACATGCCAGGTTTGTTGTGGAGTAATTATCCAGGCACCCCAAACCTGCATGAGGCAGGATCTTCGTACCAGATGTGGCACTTCTCAAGTACTCGCATTCTTGTGCGATTGCCAGGGCCTTTCAGAAGATTTAATGCCCAGTC